CACACACAAATGCAATCAGACACACGAAAACGCATGTGCAAGTGCAAATGAACAGCGAGACAGACAAGCACATGAGGAGAGCAGCATGTGCCCCTCGACTCGGAGACATCTGCCGTCGAGGCAAGACACACACCGCCTGTCAGACGGGCGGTTGTGAAACCCGATGCCGCCAAGATTGTTGTAACTACGCGTTGCCAAGAGGAATGTCATCAGGCAGTTTACCATTTTGTCTTGATGAGTCTGTCTCCTGCTGTGGCAACCGTCACGCCGGGTCGAGTCGGCCGACAATTCAAGCGCCTAGGCTCGAGCCCCGGCAAAATCTCGCGGAGCTGAGCGGGCCAGGATTGTTTGTGTGCGAGAAAGTGTGGCCAGAATGGCATCGTCTTCGGGAGTGTGGACACACGTTTTTCAATTGCATTCATAACTTTACAGCCTCACAACTCAGTTCTATCGTCAGATTCGGTATCACGACCCGCCGATTTCCCGGCTCCACCACAAACGTTAAAGAGTCTCTTTCTCTATCTCGCTCCGTAAAAATGCTATTATTAGTCATTTCGAGACGCACCTCAGCATCGGAAGTTGGTGGCAGACGAACATCAAAATAATCTGAAATGTGCTCATCCTATTTCGTGTAAAAAGATAAAAGATGGGTAGTTGAAGTGTCCCATAATCACACGATTAGACATGACTTTTCCAAAAGATGTTCTCATCCAGAATGAACTGCTGTTTTGACCTCGCATAGGTCTTATCAACACCTTCAAAGGGACTCGAACCATGAAGTGTAATCTCGACATGTTGATCACTTAACCATGTTGCCACGAGTAACCTTGTGTCATAGTGCCCGTACATCAGATATATGAGATATGTAGTTGTTGAACACTACCAGAATAACATAGCTAAAGAAACGTAATGCATATTCACATGATTGTGGAAAAATTCGGCTCTAGTCCTTCATCACTTCAAACGAAATAGCAATACGTCTGACATAAAAATAATCCACTACACTACTTATTTTTCGTTTATAAGTAGGCGTTCGAGACTATTAGTAGATCATATAAATTGAATGTATTTACCCTATTTCGTTTAAAAAGAGGAAGGAATAATAAGTGAATTTTCCCACAACGGAATAAGTGAGACCTTACAGTTCCATTCTCATCCAGGCATTAGTTGACTGCAGTTTCAACCTCACCTCAACTGGTTTCATACTGAGCCCCAGCGGGACTCGAACCATGGCAGGGCAGCGTATAATCTCGACGCCACAAATGCTCTAGGCTCACAGGACAGTTATGAGTTTCAAGGAAGGCAAGGCCTTTTCAAGTGCCACATTCTTTGGTGAGATTGTCAATGAAACAAAGTTATATTTGCTATTGCAATTGATCTCATTACTTATCTGATGTTTATATGTAGGTGATTGAGCCTATAGTAATTACAAATTTGCCTCATTGACTATCCCACCACAGAAAGTGTTAAGAGAAGAGGCTTGGATTTCATGAAATACACCCAAGGGCATTCGTGACAGTGGTTGGCGGAATGTCGAGACTACAAGCTGCACAAAAACAATCCCGGTTCGAGTCCCGTCGGTGGTGCTGATGAGACTTAGTCGAGGTCGAAACTGCAGTCCACTTCTGTTTGGATAAGAGTGCATTTCGAGAAGCAAGGCTATGTGAAATTAAATGGGAATATTCAACTGCTAGTCAATCAGCAGCTTTGGCAGAATAGGGTTAACACCTTTCATATTAAAATAATGCTTTCTGTCATTTTTATGTCAGGTGCTTGAGTTAACCCACTGCCTCAACTTAATGTAATGGGCACTTTACTTCAGTCTTCAATATTTCCCATTCTTTGTTTCGTTCACTCCATTAGCGACCTACTAATTTGATGTGATTCACTCTACTGTAAGCGCATTTAAGTAGTACTCAGGCTATGTAGTGACTTGCAGGCGACAGATTAACAGGTTACCAGGAGACTTGGCTTTATAGCGCCACGTTCATAGTATGGCCGGAAAAAATAATGCTAATTTGCACGATTTTCTGTCGGGGACCACATATTTGGCTCGGTTCGTCACTATGCGTTCAGATAAATGGCCTCTCTTCAATCATCCCAACGTCTCTCTTACTCGATTTCCCACCTGCGGATGGACGAAAATCACATGTTGGCTTTTCGAGGAGAATTATAACTTTATAATCACGAGCAATTGAATGCTTCTGGTTTGGCCATTGAACGTATTTTTTGGGCATTTGTTGAGTTAGCATACATTACAAGTGAAAATGTTTGCGGTGAAGATATTCGAAAGTTGAACTCACCAAATCAAGATGGAGCATTCCTCTTGACCAACAGACGATTGGCTTTACTAGAACATTCTTGCTGAAATTGTGCTCAAAACAATTTCGTTTAGAATTAGGCTTTCAATAAAATCTAGCCTTCAGTGACTTTATCATCTTAAACGAAATACGGTGAATACTTCTCATATATCTTATCTATTGGTAGACTCCAAAACCAACATATGAATTAAAATACGTAAAAATGTGGTACGACCTCGTTTTTACAACTTGGTCGCGTCGTCAACGGCATTTGGAATCAGAACTCTTGACCAACTTTCTGTCAAACGATAATGCTATCATTACTTTTTCGGTCTTGGCCCATCTACCAACGTCCTATCACAACTACAGACCTGTTTATGCTCCACTACCCAAAGGGTGTGCTCTTTTTGGCGAGTTTAGTGTGTCGTCATCACAACTGCAGTTTACACTGCTCTGTTCATCTCCATCTCGAATGGCTGATCCGACTTAAACCTCATGAGAACGACGATTCGTTTCTCATCTTTCTGGTTGACCCATTTCATCCGGTTCCATCCCCAGACTACTTTTTAATCCAGGCCCTATTTCTCAAGTGGGTCGACCTCTTTTTCGCAACTTGGTCTTGTTGTCAGGGTGACTTAGTTGAACGCATAATTCCCATTGTGGCAAGACTAACTGATGATGCCGACTACGATGCCGGCGAAATGTCTGAGAATGTGTCAAATCTACGGTATGATGCTGGGAATTAGGACTTCGGACAAGGTGCGTTCTACTAAGTCGCCCTGACAACAAGACCAATTTGCGTAAACGAGGTCAACCCACTTCTATAAATCGAAAGAAGACTGCGACTATACCGAGTGCCACACCAGCT